ACACCCAGCTCCCTCACCTCCTCTGGATCCAGAGCATTCCTCTCCCCAAGGGTCCCTCCTTGCCACAGGACACAGCCAGGCACAAGCCTCCCCATTCTCTGGGCAGGGCTCAGTCCTTTCCCAACACTGATAATTCTTTTCTCCTACTGTGACAACCCCTCTCACTGAGCTGTGCCATGAGAAGAGGCATTTACTGCTTGTGCCAGGGCTGCCCAGCTCCTCTGAGAAGAAGCAGCAGGCACAGCAGAGGCCAGGGAGAGAGAGGAGAGTGAGGCTGAGGTTCACCCCAGTTTTGCAGCTGAATTTACCTCGATTTGGCCAAAACCACTTCACCTTTCCATATCTTGTTGTCTTTGTCCCCAGAACAGTGACTCAGAGCAGTGAGCTGCTGGAGTATCAGGACTAATCCCTGGCAAACACCCAGAGAGTCTCAGACCCTGTATCCAATGCTGCTCTGGTTTTTAAAGGCCTTGGAAAAATTCAGAATACTGCACACCAGGAGCTAAAACCTCTGACTTCCTGTGCTGACATGGGGCTGTTCACACACCAACTGCTCTGCAGGCTGTGCTACCCTCAGAGTCTGGAGTTGGCTGAGGATGGAGAATCACTGCACCCAGGAGCTCTGGGGAAAGAAAACACCACACTGGGCAGTGGAAGTGTCTGCGAAACGTGTTCCACCAGCCCCCAGGGCAGCACAGCTGCTTGGAGAGCCTCAGCCTGGCAGTTGTCACTGCAGTCCTCGAGGAGCACAGCAGAGCTGGTGTGGGCACTGCCCGGGTCACAGCGCTGAGCTCCTGGCACAGCACCTCAGTGATGAGCAGAGCCGGGCACCTGCCATGAGGAATTAAAGGAAATCTGCTGGAATGAGTCCTCCTCAAGACCGGAGTGGAGCTTGCTTTGTGAGACCAGGGGAAGGTCAGTGTGGAGGTGAGTTCACACAAGAGCCAGAGGTCTTGGTGGCTCCGAGCGCTCGGGGAACGGGCTTGGCTGGGGGGAACTGGTCCCACAGGCCTGAACCTCCCCCAGATCAGGCTGGGCAGGAGCTCCTGGAACAAACTGCAAAGAGGTGGAGAGCCTGGAAATTCGTGCCATGGATTCGTTGGCTCTCCCCAGGTCTCAACCTCAAACCCAGCCCTTTCTGCTTCTCACAGTGACACAGCACCTGGATGCACTGCTGGCAGCAAGGCAGAGCACTAGATTTTGTAGAAAATTTTCTGAAAGCCAGAGACAAGTTTACTTTTTTATGGAATAGACAGTATTGGCAACCTGTTAGTCCTCTGAAAAGAGGCAGACAGGTCTGTGTGAGGGAACAAAGGGCTGTTGGAGTGCTCAGCTCCTTAGCTGAAGGGCCACTGGCACTCCAGAAGCTCTTGATAGCTCTTTGCTTCCTGAGCTCAACAGCCCGAGTGAAATTGAGCAGAGAGAGAATTTCCAGGGCGTTGAGGCTGCTCCCAGTGATGGAGCATGGAGCAGCCCCACAGCTGGATCTGACCATGCTGGCTCGAGCTGAGCCGTGACCTGCAGGACGTGACCAGCAGTGAGACCTGGTGGCCAACACCACGGGGGGTCCTGCCAGGCTCGTAACATGCACTGCAAGGACAGGCTGGTGTCACAGGCACCTGTGGGTGCCCGAGGGACAGGAGGGTCCCAGGCAGGGCCCTTGGCTACAGGAAGCCCTGGAGATGTGCAGAATCATGGGAGAACCACGGAACAGGGCTGACACTCCTAGACTCCTGATTTCTTGTCTGTGATCACTACATGAGATGTGGTGACTTCACCAACGAGTTCCTCAGCGAGGGCCACTCAGGGGGTGTCTCCTGCAGACCCAGGCTTTGTGACCCATCACCGCCGGTCGGTAGCAGCGCAGGTGGCAGCTGGCAGGGCCACCTCAGGCCTCGACAGGTGACA